ATGGATGGATGGATGGATGGATGGATGGATGGATGGATGGATGGATGTGTTAGTGCTCAGAAAATTGAGTAGAACTTCGAGCTACGACCACACAAGTTTTCACTCTGTCAGTAAAACTGATGACATCATTTTTATGCTAATGGTGGCTAATGTTGATTAGCTTTGCTGGCCATCTTGAACTGGTTGACCTTACAGACAAACCAACATGGACAAAAACCGTGCACACCAAAACGACTGATTTTCAAAGCCTGGATGAGCGAGACGCAGCCACGCGGCTCGTTATCACTTGTTTGCAAACACTTAGATTTCGGTAAACCTGCAGCAGAAAATGTGGCGAAACATTAACTATTTTCTTAAGTTTCTGTTTGCTAGCTGCTCCGCTGCACTGCAGCACCGTGACATCGATCTTTGGATCGGCTGCTTGGGCCTGTAGTGCCGTTATTTATTTATTTTACTTTCAAATGTTCAACGTACGACAGATTCCAGTCTGTTGCTCAATCATGTTTTTACATAGACAAGCACGAACTGGTTCTGCCTTTGTGCGTTTTGAGCAGCTACAGGACACGCTCGGTGTCTCCTGATGAGGTGAAGCTGGGCGCTTGGCTGTTTCCACTATCGTAAACAATGAAAACTGTCGTCACCATGTGTTTCATGACGGCTGTGTTCTCATCATGTCTGGCTTTAGTTCAGTTCACAGCTCACTGTAGGAGAGTTGTTCAACTTCTCGTCAGTGTGATGCCATAAATGTTTGACGGCACAGTGTCTTGTCGAAGCTCCAAAATTCATGGTTGAAACCCGTGCCTTCATCTAAAAAGGTTTTTTTGTTTGTTTGTTTTTTAAAGAAGCTGAGAACTTGTTTACTGATTTTTTTTATTAAAAGCTTTGTGTGAAAAATGCTAAAGAGCTCAAACCACACCGAGCGTCCGCCTTTTTGAGAACCAAACAACAGGAAGGAGAGACGGCCCATGTCAGAAGGGGTTCTGTGCAGACCAAAAGTGGGCGTTTCTGGAGAATAGGTGTTTGTAGAGGACAAACACTGATTGGCAGCTGTATTTCTGGCTCTTTAGTTAAGTTACGTCAGGTCTTTTTTTAAACTGAAGGTTTCTAAATACCAGCGTTATATTTGCTGTCAAACACAAGAAGCTTCTCTTTAGTTCTTGGTTGTAGCTGCACCTGACACAGGTTGTCTTGAGTGTGGTCTGGGTACAATGAAATATGAAACATCTGAAGTGAAACCTGCTCCTATTTGTCCAAAAGTCTGGTCTCAATTAAAGATCATGAGTCCTGTAACGAGATAACGGCCCAAAACAAAAGCTAAAAACAAAAGTTTTTCTTTAGAAGTTCTTCTCTGAGATCTGATCTATGAGAGGAGCTGAAACATGGAGTAGGGTTGACCCTTAAAACCAGAGACAGCTGAGGAAGTGAACCAGTAAACAGAATACCTGCTCCAGGTGCAGAAATCTGACCATCACTCATCTGCAGTGACTGATTTAAAAGATGAACAAGAAAATATGAAGTTAAAGGAAACACACTTTGTCCCTAGGCCAGTTTAAGTATCATTAATATTTTAGTTACTTTATTTTTCTTTCTTTATGAATTGATTGTAACTATTTTCACATTATTCAACAACCAAAACAGATTTAGTTTTTTAATGTAATGGCTAGGTATTAAAAGACAAACATTTAGCCCTCCACACTACCCAGTTATGTTGCTCTTATTTTGAAATGTAACCTGAAGTTCTGTGTTGAGCGGCAGAAAGAAAAGTTATGGAGACGCCGCTAATGTTGAACCGGTCAACACCGTAGACATAATAGATCTGTGGTTAACAAACACCTTGTTTTTTGTCTTCATCCAGTCAGATGTGGCCCTCCAGATATGCCGTCTGTTTTTGTCTGCAGAGATATCTATTTGCCATGTCAAGGGGCCTCCCGCCCATTTTTCTTAACGAGACACGCTGCTCACTCCCTCACTATCCATCCTTCAGTTCAGACAGTCTTACACTGCCATCCTGTGGTCAAAAAAGGTGCTACACACAAAAATTTACCAACATTTCTTCTCAAATTTGACAGTAATTACTAATTGTCGATTTCAAACAAGGGCAGCACGGTGGCACAACTGGTAGAGCTGCTGCCTCTCAGCGAGCAGGTCCCCGGTTCAAACCCCGGTCCAGGGGCCTTTCTGGGTGGAGTTTGCATGTTCTCTTCGTGCATGCGTGGGTTTTCTCCGGGTACTCCGGTTTCCTCCCACAGACCAAAAACATGCATGTTAGGCTGATTGGTAACTCTAAATTGTCCCTAGGTGTGAGTGAGAGAGTGAATGGTTGTTTGTCTCGTTTGTCTCTATGTGTCCCTGTGATGGACTTGCGACCCGTCCAGGGTGTCCCCCGCCCCTCGCACAGTGATTGCTGGACATGGGCACCAGCGACCCCCGTGACCCAAAATGGAATAAGCGGGTAAAGATAATGGATGGATGGATTTCAAACAATATTATCGTTTACCGCAATAATTTCTGAGACAATTAATCACCTGGAAAAATTTATCGTGACAGGCCTAGTTAATAGTCTGAGCTTTTAATGCTTTAATCAGTTGTTCTTAATAACTTAATGCATCACGTAGGAGCAGTTGATCAATGAATATATTTGTGAACGAGTATTAGGTCACGTGAGTAATCAGCTGTCTGTGCAGTAGGAACTTTTCTTTGTGAGTTCAGGTGTTTCACCTGGAAGGGGGAAACGGTTTTTGAACGGTGAATACGAAAGAAACTAGATGTTGTCAAGAGATGCAAGCGTTGTGGAAATATGTAGTGCCTTTAAATGGACACCGCTGAAACGTAAGGAGTAAATGGATTACCTGCAAAGGAGCAAGGACGGCTCTGACTTTAGTTCATCTGACACGGTAACAGTCGGCGCGTCGGCACTACCCGTGTACGAAGCACCGGCTTGGCCTCCACATCAATTACTACTTTTCACTTTCAGCTCATTTTGTCCTTGACAAAGTTTTCCAAAGAGCTTCATCACAGTTTTGTGGTTGTGTAGAAATAGCAACTGTGTGTTCACAATAAAAACTTTTTCTTTTTATGTTTTTTTTTATTTTCACAAATCACATGAAATTAATGAGCTTTCTTTCTCTACTACTGGAAACCTACAAAAATATCTTTCAGGTTATTGGACAACAAAGTTTGAACAAATAGCTGAAAAAGTTCTTAAAGTTTATTTTAACAGCCTCCTTATGGCTCCTTAACCTTTTTTATTTATTCATGCATATTTAGCACATCTCAACAAATCAAAGTGCTCTGATTAACGGGACATATATTATCTAGAAAACCAGTTACGACACTGTCCAACATCTGGAAGAAAAAGACAAGTTTGTTTTCTGTTTGTTTGGTTTGTTAAAGTATTTATTCATGTTAAATCTGTTCACAGGAGAAATTACAACTTGATAATCGTAGCGTTTAGATACGTCGAGCTGAAAAGTAACCGGCTCCGGACACCTCTGGAGAATTTGAGTCATTTTTCTGCCATTTAAAAACTGATCTGTGTCCACCCAGCTCCCCAGGTGCCTCCTCCAAGTTCTCGTAACGGTGGAAGAGATGCCCCTCCTCCACCTCCCCCGTACCGTGGCCACAGCTCCGAGCCCCCCAACCGGGTGGGGAAGCCGCCTCCTCCTCCCTCCCCTTCCTCCATCTCATCTTCCTCCTCATCCTCCAGGACCCCAGCTGGACCTCCTCCCCCTCCTCCACCTATCCGGAATGGTTACTCCAGCAGCTCCTCCTCTAAATCTGTCATAGGTGAGTGAGTACAGAACATTTCATCAAATCATCTCCTTCCACACATAACCTCACCTCCATGTTTAAATTTACATTTCCTTCAGCAAACTTAGAATGCCACTTACTTATTAAAATAGATCATACATGTATTTAGTCATGGGTCCTTGGACTTCTACTACATTACAGATCGTCAATAAATGACAATTTTCTCAAACAGAAAAAAACATTTTATGAAAAAGTGTCTTTCTTTTTGGCATCCAGCATGTTTGAAAGCATTTGCTTTAAGAAAAAATAAAAACATGGAGGAACGGATGATTTAATACGTCAAAAAAATCTTGCATCTTCATTTTTAATACTTTGTTTTCATAAATCAGCACTTTTGGCCTCCTTTCACATCTGTGTAGTTTTACTGATGGCTAACTGATCAAGTGTCATAAAGGGCTTGTTTTCCTCGTTTCCTAAAAAGTTTCAGTTTTGAAGATGCGAGGTTTCTGCCATCAGTGATGAGATCTAAGATGATGTTGCGTGACACGTTGCATTTATAGGAATATGCTGAGAGGAACATCTTCTCTTCTAACCTCACGCTGCTTTGCAGCTCTTCTTCACACAAGTTGCTGTGACCGCTCCAAACTTGTCTTTAATTTGTCCCAGGTGTTTTGCTGTCGAACTTCTCTCTGTGTGTGATCTTGACGGGATGGAGCTGTCAGTCATGGATATTCAAATATATTTCTACATCCATGCAAAACAGCCTTTTATTTCCTGAACGTCAGCAGTTCTTTGAATGTGATACTCTAAAGCACACAGAGGTTTAATGGCAGGTCTGACTTTAATGTGAAATTATTTCATTGTTCATGTTAGAGTTAAAAAGATTCCTCAGACGTATGCAACGTTCTCTGAAAATGACTTGACACAAAGTCACACGGTGGAACAAAGTTAAAAACAATGCACGCTTATCACATTATGAAATGAAGAGCACCACATCAGTCATAACAAGGCGGCGTGTTCATTCTAGTTCGTTAAATGACAGTCCACCAACAGGTGGAGGCTCAAGTAAAGCTGGTGTCTCGCGAAGCTGCAAAGATTGGACACGAAACTTTGAGGGGATGAAAGTTTCAATTGAACGGAGGAAGCCACCAGCGAGCCACGCAGCTTTTTGTGCTGCACATTATTGTCGTTCATTTCTGCCCACATTGCACCCGTCATGGCAGACGACTCGTACAAGGAAACTCTGAACCTCCAACAACCTGACACGTTTTGGAAACTCTCTCTTGAATGATTCAAGTTGTCTGCAGCAGTCGCAGTGAGAAACGCCTTAATATGCTTGGAGGTCTTTCTGTAATTCTTGTAACTATGAGATAATTCCCCCTTCCTTTAGTGCCCATCACCTAAACTGCTGCTGACTAATGTTCTGTTTTTGTTGGATCAATTCTAAACTCACTGAATAAATGTTGCTGCGTTATGGAAACCATTTCTGAAGCAGCCATAAGTTGATGGATTCAGATCAGATCATTTTGCAGTGAATAGTTGAATAGTCAAGCCTAATACTCAAACCAAACTTAACAAGAAGTACTTATGAGCCTCAGTAAAGTCATCCATAGAATATAAATGACGCCTCAACTCCTCAGAGCTGTTCGACCTCTCTGAGACGGTGGCTGTCACTCACTGTGCGTTGCTTCAGGTCAGACTGAACGATGTCTGGAGTGACTCTGATCAGGATCCCTGTTGAGTTCTGTGGGTAAACACACACACAAGAGACGCACTGTTTGATCTTACACACTTTCTAGTTTCCACAAATAAAACCACTAGCAGATTGTAAAGAATAATAATAAAAACATTGACCAGCTTCATAAAGTGCGTTCAGGAAGTATTCAGACCACTTTCACTTCTTGTAGTTTTGTTAAGCTGCAGTTTGATGCTACTATAGAGTGTTTTGTTTAGTTTTTTTTTATCTTATTGATCTACACCCAGGACCCCATGATGACAAAGTGAAAATAGAGTTCTGCACAGAACTGAAAATCACATTTACGTAAGTGTTCAGACCTTTTTCTCAAAACTCTTTAAACGGAGCTCCAGTTACAGCATCTGTTTCTCTGTGGTGCTGCTGAGCTGTTTCTACACGTCGACTGGAGTCCAGCTGTGGTAACGTATTTTCCACCGTACACGTCGCGCCGCCCTATAAGTCGCATCAGTCCAAATATGTCTAATAAAGTGGAAAAATCCATAAATATGTTGCTTGGCCATATACGTCGCATCTATTATGTGTCACCGCTGACGATCCAGAAATGTGGGCCGGTGTTATGCCAAAAATCGTTGGGCTGCCAAATGGTGGCCGCGGGAGCGTGCATGGGAGGATTTTAACAAGCATTTAACAAGATTAACATTTAAAAATAATTATTTGTTTGCTGGAAATTATAATAAATCTGTGTCTCGGTCTAACTTTTCCTTAATAAATGCACTTTGACGGTCAAATCAGCTGCATTTCAAAACCTGATTCGCATAATCGAGCACGTGCAGAGGGACGAGCCGCTGTTCATTTCTTCAAAATTTAACAAGAAAAGCACCTAAAACAATTGTTTGCTCGTAATTATAGCAAAGGTGTGTCAGCTGAACTGGGGCGGCTGTGGCTGAGTAGTTAGAGCAGTCATCCTCCAATGGCAGAGTTGGGGGTTCAAATCCACCAACAGTCATGTACTGAAGTGTCCCTGGGCAAGACACTGAACCCCTCATAGTCTCTGATGTGTGTCCCATCAATGTATGAATGTGATAAAGCTCTGATTATTCTCTTCAGAATGATTTGTTCAATTAGCTTTGTAGAGATCTAGTATAGAGCTGTATGAATGGATAAATGAGGACACAGGTTATAGTGTAAAGCACTGAATATCTCAATAAGATAGAAAGGTGCTATATAAGTACAGTCCATTTACTTAATAAATGCATTTTAGTGGTCAAATTAGCTGCATTTAGCCAGGGCGGTGCAGCTGGTTTGACGGTTACTCCAAGCAGTGAGCAGAATGAAGGTGGGGGGAATAGGGCAAGCCAATTGCATCATTAATAGCTGGTGAGGATTCTCATTCACCCAGGACATGGTAAATTCAAAAAAGGTCAAGACAAAAACAAAGTATAAAGTAAAGTATAAAAAATAAAGTCCAGTTGTTTTTGTTTTGAACTTTTTTGAATTTGTCGTTATAGCCATGTTGACCTATTACATGATACAACGGCATGCCATAAAGCTACTACTATTCTGCTGCCATCTAGTGGCTGAAAATGGTACTGTTCAAATCTTTTCAGTCAGAATGAATGAATGAAAACGGGCAACACGGTGGCACAACTGGTAGAACTGTTGCCTCTCAGCGAGCAGGTCCCTGGTTCAAATCCCGGTCCGGGGGCCTTTCTGGGTGAAGTTTGCATGTTCTCTCCGTGCATGCGTGGGTTTTCTCCAGGTACTCCGGTTTCCTCCCACAGACCAAAAACATGCATGTTAGGCTGATTGGTGACTCTAAATTGTCCCTAGGTGAGAGACAGAGAGTGTGAATGGTTGTTTGTCTTGTTTGTCTCTGTGTCCCTGTGATGGACTGGAGACCTGTCATGGGTGTCCCCCGCCTCTCGCACAGTGATTGCTGGACATGGACACCAGCGACCCTCGTGACCCAAGATGGAAGGACACCCTAGGCCGCAGTTTGATGATCGACTTTGTCGTCGTCTCAACTGATCTGCGGCTACATGTCTTGGACACTCGGGTGAAGAGAGGGGTGGAGCTGTCCACTGATCACTACCTGGTGGTGAGTTGGCTCCGATGGTGGGGGAGGATGCCGGTCAGACCTGGCAGACCCAAACATATTGTTAGGGTTTGCTGGGAACGTCTGACAGAGTCTCCTGTGAGACGGAGCTTTAACTCTCACCTCCGAGAGAACTTTGAACATGTTCCGGGGGAGGTAGGGGACATTGAGTCCGAGTGGGCCATGTTCTGTGCCTCTATTGTCAAGGCGGCTTACCGGAGCTGCAGCCGCAAGGTTGTCGTTGCCTGTTGCGTCGGCAACCCTCGAACCCGGTGTCGGACACCGTTGGTGAGGGATGCTGTCAGGCTGAAGAAGGAGTCCTATCGGGCCTTTTTGGCCAGTGAGACCCCGGAAGCAGCTGATGGGTACCGGCAGTCCAAGCGGCATGCGGCTCGGGTGGTCGCTGAGGCAAAAACTCGGGCATGGGAGGAGTTCGGAGAGGCCATGGAGAATGACTTCCACACGGCTTCGAGCCGATTCTGGTCCACCATCTGGCGTCTCAGGGGAGGAAAGCGGTACACCAACAACACTGTTTATAGTGGGGGTGGTGTGCTGCTGACCTCAGCTCGGGATGTCGTGGGTCGGTGGGCAGAATACTTTGAAGACCTCCTCAATCCCACCGGCACGTCTTCCACTGAGGAAGCAGAGCCTGAGGACTCTAGGTCGGGCCCTCCAATCTCTGGTGCTGAGGTCACCGAGGTGGTTAAAGAGCTTCTCGGTGGCAGGGCCCCAGGGGTAGATGAGATTTGCCCGGAGTTCCTTAAGGCTCTGGATGTTGTAGGGTTGTGTTGGCTTACGCGACTCTGCAGTGTGCGTGGACATTGGGGGAAGTTCCCCTGGATTGGCTGACTGGGGTGGTGGTCCCCCTATTCAAAAAGGGGGACCGTAGAGTGTGTTCCAACTACAGGGGAATCACGCTCTTAAGCCTCCCTAGTAAGGTCTATTCGGGGGTTCTGGAGAGGAGGGTTAGTCGGATAGTCGAACCTCGGATTCAGGAGGAGCAGTGCGGTTTTCGTCCTGGTCATGTAACTTTGGACCAGCTCTACACTCTCGGCAGGGTCCTGGAGCGTGAGTGGGAGTTTGCCCAACCGGTTTACATGTGCTTTGTGGACTAGGAGAAGGCATTCGACCGCATCCCTCGGGGAACCCTGTGAGGGGTACTCTGGAAGTATGGGGCACCGGGCCCTTTGATATGGGCTGTTAGGTCCCTGTATGACCAGTGTCAGCCTGGTCCGCATTGCCGGC